AATTTACCGACAGCATTGTCAATGAAGCCGCTGACCGCATATCTCGTTCCAAAAATTTTTTGGTTAGAGGCGTCCCCGAACCTACAGGAGACGCACAAAATAAAAAAGATCATGATAAGAATAAAATACATTTAGCCCTAGAAGTCATTGGATGTCAAGAAAGTCCTGTTACATTTTATAGAGTCGGTAAACCAAATGAAAATAAACGTTATCCCCGCATGATAAAAGTGATAATGAGTTCTGAACACCACACTCGAAAAATTCTTCGTAACAAAAATAAACTTTTGGAAAACAAATCTACTGAAACGTATTCTGTTATTGATGACAAGACACCTATGCAGCAACTTCGTTTAAAGGAACTTCGTACGGAGCTTGAAACTCGTAAAAATAATGGAGAAAATGACCTTACGATTAAATATGTGAATGGCTGTCCAAAGATAATGAAATTTCGCTCATAATTCTTCTGCACTAAAATTTACGGATTGGCTTCTTATGTATACTAATCTAAACTCTCCTATGTCCAAATTTAATGAATTTATAAGTACTGTTCAACTTTTAAAACCTCACATTATTCTCCTAACAGAAACGTGGCTTAATTCTTCTATTCCCGATGCTATTGTAAACATTGATAATTTTACTATATTTCGTAGAGACAGAGGTACTCGTCGAGGGGGAGGAGTATGCATCTATTTAGCAAATGAAATTACCAACACTTTTTCTATCAGTAATAAAACAATAGACGTACCCGGTATAGAAATTATCCACTTACTTATTACTAATAACTCTTTCATATTTAATATAGTTTGCATATACCGACCTCCTGATACAGTACTTACTCAGGACAATATGCTTATTAACAAACTTGAGGAATTATCATCCCTTGAAAATCTCATTGTTGTTGGAGATTTCAATTTTCCAGAAATAAGCTGGCCCATTATTTCCAAAACTGATACTATCAATTCCCAAAATTTGTTTAAAAACTTTATCATGAACTCAAATTTAGTACAACTGATAACTGAACCTACAAGGTTTAGAGCCAACAATAATCCTTCAATCTTAGACTTATTTTTCACAAATGACGATGAATTAATTTCTTCACTTGAAGTGTCCTCTCCTGTGGGTCTTTCTGACCACTCGCTTATTACTGCTCACATTCAATTTAGTTTAACACCGCCTTGCAAAAATAATTTCGTAACGTATGCCACTACTAATTTCATTGATGTAAATTCAGTTTTATCCCAGTTAAACTGGCAATCTATTTTTTCTAATCACTCTGATCCATCGTCAATGTGGGACTCTTTTCTTCATACTGCTATTACAACAATTTCTGATCATACAACCGAACGGCAGGTATATAGAAATCGACTAAAACCTTGGATTAACCTCTCAGCTACTCATTTAATTCGACAAAAGCGAAAGCTTTGGCGAAGATATAAACTCACTAGTTCCCCTGACGATTTTTTCGCCCACCGTAATTTTTCTAACCGAGTCAAACAATCTTTGCTAAAGTTAAGAACAGAATTTGAAGAATCTATCATTGCAAGTGGTAATAGTAAAAAAGTTTATCGGTACATTCGTACATCTTTATCTTCTAAAGTTTCCATACCATTGCTTCAAAAAGCTGATGGGTCTTTATGTTCTTCGAATAACGAATCTTCGGAATGTTTATCGTTATTCTTTTCTCAAGTTTTTACAGATGAATCTAACGATACCATTCCTCAAATAATGTGCCCTCGTTTGTCTAAAACTCTTGAAAATATATCTTTCACACCGGATGAAATTAAACATCATTTAAGGAAACTGCGAAATAATTCATCACCTGGATTAGACGGACTCACCTCTTTTTTCCTCAAACAATGTGCAGATTCTGTCGCCATCCCTATATCTCTCATAATGACTGCTTCTTTTAATCAAGGTTCCCTCCCCTCGTCCTGGAAATTGGCTTCTGTTACTCCTGTATTCAAGAAAGGTAATAAACTTGATTGCAATAATTATCGTCCAATCAGCCTGGTTCCTATTGTCGGCAAGGTCATGGAATCGATTATTTCGGAAGCTATGTCCGAGTTCCTTCTTCAAGAAAATGTCATCCCTCACCAACAGCATGGATTTATCAAAGGTCGTTCAACGATCACAAACTTACTTCATTGTGTAAATGATTGGTCATTATCTTTAAACAATCGGAATCCTGTCGATGTAGTTTACTTAGACTTCTCCAAAGCTTTCGATCGTGTTCCAAAACGTCGATTACTAGCTAAATTGGATCACTATGGTATCCGCGGAAAGTTAAACATTTGGATACAGGATTTTCTATCCGACAGATACTTCAGGGTTCGTGTTGGGAAAGACCATTCACTAGATAAGCCAGTCAAGAGTGGAGTTCCACAAGGATCAGTACTTGGACCGCTACTTTTTTGTGTCTACACTAGTGATCTTCCGCTCATTGTATCCAGTAAGGTTTCCATTTACGCTGATGACACGAAGTTATATGTGAATCCAACTATTAACCAACATATTCTTCAACAAGATCTTGACGCAATATTCAAATGGTCCTCAGAATGGTTACTTCCGCTTAACATTGAAAAATGCGTTGTTTTACATATCGGCAAAAATAACCCATCACTGCCGTACTTTATTAATGGACATCCTTTAAACTCTGTAACCTCACACAACGATCTCGGAGTGATAATTAATAGTGACTTAAATTGGTCTGATCACATAGTGTCGGTGTGTAAACGTGCTAACTCGAAACTGTTTTTGATCCGTAAATGTTTTACACGCATATCTCTAACCTCTGTTAGTAAACTTTACTCAATATACGTTAGACCTATTCTTGAGTTTGCCGGACCAGTGTGGAATCCAGATCTTAGTCGCGATAAAATCCTACTTGAAAACGTTCAGCGTAAAGCCACAAGACTGGCATACGGCCGTGTAAGACCTAACTATGAAGATAGACTATTCATGGCTCATCTTACGACATTCGAGCAGCGACGTCTTCGAGGTGACCTAATTATGTCCTTCCGTATTTTAAAACATAATTTTGGGAACCTAAACAACATATTCACTTTGAATGAAGACGATAGATTAAGAGGCCATCGATACAAATTAAAGAGGGAACAAACTACTGCAAGGTCCAGGGCGAACTTCTTGCCAAACAGAATCTTTAATATCTGGAACAATTTGGATCATGACACCATATCGGCAGCTAGTGTTAACATCTTTAAAAATAAACTTGACAGAACTTTATTTTTTTTATAGGATAGGATATTTTTTCTCGGACAGCATTATTTATTTATTTATTGTGTCACAATTCAATTTTTGTTAATTTGTTTAACTGTACTTAACTTTATAATTAGTATTAGTTTTATAAGGATATATTTTATTTTTGTTCATTTTTGCTTTTTGGGCATAATAGGAGCTCGCTCCTCTGTCCTTATTTGTTATATAATAATAATAATAATAATAAAATCAATATAGACTACAACAACTAATCTCTTAAAGGCACAACAGAAGGCCGTAGAGATATAGGAAGACAACAAGTTTCTTGTTTAAAAAACAATTCGTAAATGGATTTAGATATCAAATCCAGGACAATTATTTCATTGACCGAAGTTCGAGAACCCTCACATTGGTGATCACCAACCTCGGAAAATTCTGATATAGTACGTGAAGAAGAATTACTTTAGCGTCTCACTGACAACTAAATAAATCAAATACCGAGATGGTATGAGCGTCGTAAGTAGTGTAATATAGTCATTTGAGAATAACAGGACGGACTTCTTCTTCTTTAAGTGCCTATTAGTTTAGAAAATTGGCGATCATTCTGGCTATAATTATTTTATTAACTGATGCTTTAAATAAATTCGTTGTTTTTATGGAGAACCATTTCCTCAGATTTTTAACCATAATATACTTCTTCTCCCAATACCCCGTTTTCCGAATACTTCGCCTTAGAATTATTTTCAGTAATCTGTATTTAGTGCCGTTTCTCATTATGTGTCCGAGATATTCTAACTTTCTCTTTTTAATCGTATACATCACTTCTCTTTCTTTCCCCATTCTTCATAGTACAGTCTCGTTGGTTATCTTGTCCGTCCATGATATACCATATGGACAACCGAATGTAACTAATATTTTTTAAAATCTAAAAATTAGTAAAAATGCGGCACACAGGACTGATAGCACGCCCTCCAGAGGGTTAAAGTCGGAATACGTCTGATAAATGCCGATCTCTGTCAGAAATGTGCCAATTGTACGCCCTAAGCTGAATATTATATTTTTCACTCTCTCCTGTTTAACCTTTTCTTTCCAGTTTGGAATTTGCTTCTTATTTAGATCATAGGTAATTATCTCTAATCATCTTATTCTGGACCTTCCTTCATTTGTTTTAAGTAAGGTTTCCTTCATACAATATCTTTTATCTGTTTTCAATTTTATTTTCCATTTTACCTAAATATGTCAATTATTGTAACCTTCATCTTACAACTCTCAAGTTATTTGAAGAGTTACTACGCTATTTTATGGTTTTATAACATATATTGAAACATTGTCTTAATTACTTGTCACATCTCCTTTGATCCTTTCCGAGATGCAGACGACACTTTAGGACGAAATAACTTCAGAAATAATTTCGGAGCTTATCAACCCCGAAAACAAGGTATCATTATACAACCAAAAGTTCTTTGCATGTACGAATAACAGCTTGTAATATTACAGTTATTAAATTTTTTTTGACATATTTTTTGTAAAATTTTATAAAGACTTTTGAAACAGCTTTGAATAAAAATTAAATAATAATATAATATTATCATTTTAAATATTAAATCTGTAGTTTTTAACTTCTGCTTACGTTTGGAAACGGTAGTTCACCTTATGCACTATTATCGAGAAACAATATTTGTAACCTTGAGATTGATTTGTAAAATAAAAGCACAAAACGCGTAAGTACTTAACAATTCGGGGTTAGATTTAATATAAATACTTTAGAAACACTGACTTTCAGTATCAGTTCAATAGCAGCTTTAAAATAGTTCAAATAAAAAACACATTTTACAATGAAAGGTATAGCTATCCTTGCTTTATGCATTTCCGCAGTCGTATCTCTTCCTTTGGATGTCATTGAAGACGAAAGTGGACAAGAATATGTTTTAGTTCCAGTCCATAGGGAAAGAAGGTGAGTAGATCAAAAACCATACAAAAATAATGGTACCTAATGGATAAGACAATTTTTTTTATATGAGTGTCTATATTTTTGTTTTAAATTGCACAACGATTGGAAATGTTTTAAATTCTATTTTTATATCGGATTAAATGGTTATCACAGCATTAACCTAAGTCTAAAATATTGTCAATTTAGTCAGATATTTTGTTTTCTTTTCAGTTTCACTTCCCTTTCTTTGTTACTAGTTCAAATTAAATACTTTTTTCATAGTTGCGGTTTTCAATTATCGTTTATACATAAAACTGCTCTAACACAAACGAATTTTGGTTAGTTAACTTACAAATGAATGTTAAACATATTTTTGTGTCAATCTATATTCACTAAATTTTTTCAGTATTTTAATTTCCATACATAGCTACCCTTCTTTCGCTTACTTTTCTATAATTGTTACAATCAATCTAAATTTTCCTATATGTTTTGTAGGCAACACATTTTTTATTGTAACATATACATATTCATTCAGATACATTATCTATATTATTACTTCTATCTCTCTTATCTTGTGTGAACCTTACAGTTTCTAGGATATTTTAATAATTATATACTACAGTCTGCACTTTTAATACTTCATATATTTTCATTCAAATTTTTAGAGATTTAACATGGGGTGCGAATCAAAATGGATATACTCTTGGTCAAAAAGGAAACATTTGGAGTAATGGTAATCACCAAATCGACGGTGCTTACACTGGTTCGAAAGCTTGGGATTCTCATGGGCTAAAACCAGATTCTTTTGGAGGTCGTGTAGAGTATACCAATAATCCATCAAAAACTACTGCCTTTGTATCCGCAGACAGGACGCCTGGATATGGTACTGATGTCAACGCTGGAGTTAAATACAATTTTGTTAAAGACAAGCATCTTAACGTAGATTTAACAGGACAATATAGCCAGCATCATGGTGGGCCTGGTGGGAATGGCAAACCCGAAGCAGGAGTATTCTTAAACTTTGAAGCTAGACCCTAAATCTCAACATAGATCAAGAAGACTGTAATATATATATTTTAATAAATTATTATTTTTTAATTTGGTTTTTTTAATTTTGTATTGGTAGAAGTATTTTTTTACAAATACGTACATTTCAAATATGCTTTTAACAAACATGTCAATAGAAATAAACCAAAAATTATAAATCACATCTTTTCAACATTCAAATCTAATCTCCGGTTAATCGTTAAATCCCTTATGAATTTAAGATTTGGTACAATTACGTTAGAAACAATTATGTATATGTAGCAACCAGAAGTCTTCTTTTCGAGAGCGAATTAGTTAAACTGTAAATCTATAATAGATACAAAGACTTTATTTTGGGAGATCATTTTGGTTTGAAGTTTTTGTTATTAGATGCTAACTCAAAAAAAGTACAAAGTAAAATAAGTCAAAACGTAACATTCAGAAATTTTTCTGAATCGAATTTATTAAATTTACAAAATAGATTTTCACTGAATATTTTGAACATGTTTACGAATATCTTGATGACGCGAATTAATTTGGCATTTCAAACATTTTTGAAGGTACTTACGTATCATATTGACATATAAGTCTAAAAATAGATGGGTAACTGTAATATATTATGTTAAAGGTAAAAAAGAAGAAGACCGATGACAGATGTCATCCGGTACCGGCATTCCGGCCAGCGTCATGTAACTTGTAACTTGTAGCTTCTTGATTGCTATAATAAAGATTATGTATGAACCTCTGGCTTTAATATATATATATATATATATATATATATATATATATATATATATATATATATTATATATATATATATATATATATATATATATATATATATATATATATATATATATATATGACCAAAGGAATCAAAACATGGCGTCAGGTGTGGGGTAAATAATATAATACATGGGGGAAATGATTTAACAAGTCTTTTTTGGCTATCAAATAATTTTAAAAATATAGACATTCATTTAAAATATACAGAAAAAAAGAAACAATATGTCAAACTAATTGACGAAACAAAAAAGAGTTTCTTTCAAAATAATTTAGAATGTAAAAATACTATACAGCAAAAGCAGAAGTTTATATGGCGTACGGTTAATAAGACGGTAAAACCTAATTTGTGATAAAATCCAACTAGCTGATAAAATTATTACTAATAAATGGCAAACGCTTTTGTAGAGCATTTTACTACTTGTCCTAAAAATAAAATCATAAATATTTTTAAAAATACCAATTTTAATTAAGTATAAGCGTAAAAATAAAATGTAATGGCATGTCTCGCAAAACAAAACCAAAAAAGGTATATCGATGGAAGGCAACCGTATATATACGTATTTCTGGTCGTCTTCAGTACGGTGCAGCTCAGTTAGAAAAGGAGCATGTAAACTTGATAAGGGATCACTACAGGAGCAATGCGATCAATTTGTGGCATTAGAGTTAGAAGACCTTGATGGTTTCCAGGGCAACAGCTAACAATAACCACAGAGGAAGCTACAGCTACCTGGGGAATTAAATACCAAACCAGAGAACATACGAACACAAGTTCTCTGACCAAACGTTGAAAACAAATAAAAAAGGATAATGCGAGTGAATAATAAATATATAATGTAATGACATTGTAAATGGAGTTTAACGAATTTGTTCTCTTAGGCTATATATTTGTCTCTTTAATTCAACAAAGCGATAGAAGCTTTTCCTAAATGATTTAAAATTCGTTAAACTTCCTGTGCTTGAATCGGTATCAATAGAGTATTATGACGTCATTTCAGCATTCCTGCTTTATCAGACAATTGGGCTGATACAAACATATTATCACTTTTTATGTTCAAAATGTATTCACAAATAAATATTTAAGATTGGCCAATATTGCAGTCACCAAAAACGACTTTTTCCTATGGTTTTCTTATCATCTTTGAGTCTCTGATTTCGGGCTTTTTGAAATCATCCCTGACTACACCTCTCCGAAGTCTGCATTTCTTTTTCTTTTTGATCTCTGATCGTCAATCCAATAACTAATATACTATTCTTATTCTAGAGCTAAGTTAGATTTTGAATAGTTGGATCGTGTTTATCAATCCGCTACTACCTTAATGTCAAATATTTTACGAACTATCCTTATTTCCCACATTTATAACATATCTTCAATGGTTTTTTATATGGTCTATGTCTCGTCACCGTATGTCATTATTGGTCTAATTATAATTTTTCTTTTGCGTTAATAATTTTGTTCCTAGGTTTAGCACATCTAATACTCTTGACCAGTCTGAAATTGATTTTTGTTGCTTCCATACATACCTGGTAAATAAACACTTCGTTATATAATATATAAATATGTTATCGGGACCACAGCGTTAGCTAATAACTAAGCATTTTGTAGAAAAAGGTTATATTTATCTATGTCTTGTATTAACTAACAAGGTAGACAAAGGGCGAATACCTTCTTTAGATTAAATACGCCTGAGACTGCACCGTTACTTTTTTCTCCACAATTAGTTTTTTAAAATATTATTACTAGTATTGGTATTTTTGTTTTTACTTTATGTGTGATGTACATGATCTTCTAGGTCTAAAGCCGCTTTGTTCTTCTATGAGTTTTTCTTCATTTCTAGATAAAATTTTATTAAAAATCATGCATTCAAATATTTTAAATAGGTGACACAGCAAAGATATTTACCGATAGGTTTCTGAGTCATTGGCTATCTTCATAGTTTTAACAAAGTTGTTTATCTGGAAGGACCATTGCAGTTTTTTTGGTCCAAACTTCTTAATTTGCTTTATGCACAGATTGTCAATGTCCGAAGCCTTACAATTTTTTATTATGTGGATGGCGGACCTAATCTAAGTTTCGTTCAGCTGTCTGGTTTCGTCCTCTTACTCAAGTTTAAGTTTTCTTTGTCTGGTTTCGTCCTCTTTCATTTCAAGTTTAAGTTTTCTTTGTCTCTTTTTCCAAATAATCTGCTATTTCTAAGGAGTTATATAGGATCCATTAAGATCTTCGTTCATCTGAGATGGCAGCAAGTAATATTTCTCTAGCTCGTTGAGTATCATCACTAAAACGGTCTCCATCCTATAGTTTTATAAACCGGTTTAGCAATTAAACAGAGTCTGGAATTAGTATTTAAACATACTTCAGCATTTTCGTGGAATGTTTTTTCTAGAAACAGATTCTACAATGTTTTCATAGTTTTCTGTTTCCAACTCGAATCTCATCATCGAGATGCAAGGCGAATTTTTCCCAATTTGCTTTTTTAAAATTAAATATTTTTTTTTAATTGCGTGTCTTCTTCTTCTAAATGTTCCTATCTTCTAGAGATGTTGGCGACCACATTGACCCTTCTTATTCTATTCACAGCAGCTCGAAATAGATCAATTGACATTAGACCAGTCCATTTCATAAGATTGGCCAGCCAGGATATACGTCTATGTCCAGGGCCTCTCTTACCCTCAATCTTGCCCTGTAGAATCAACTGTAGGAGTCGGTATTTATTATTACGCATGATGTGGCGGAAGTAAGCAATTTTTTTGTTTTCTACGGTGTTAATAATTTCTTTGCCTTTTCTTAGATTCTGGAAAATAGTTATGTTACTTGTGTGATGTATATATGAGGAACTCAACACACGGCGGTAGCACTACATTCAAGTGCCTCTAATCGTTTTATGGCATCTTTTGTAAAGCTCCAACTTTCTACTCCATAGAGGAGGACACTAAAAACGTAACATCTAAGAATTCTTATGCGTATAATGATACTTAAAGATAAGTTGCAGAGAATTTTTCTAAGTGTAGAAAGAGCTTCTGGCTTTTTCAATACGAGTTTTTATTTCCTAGCTGTGATCCCAAGTATTCTTAATATTGCCGCTCAAATAGCATACTTTTTCACTCTTTCTAACGGTGTATCGCCTATTGTGATTTAGGCGTTTATGTTGGTGTTCTTACTTCTTCTTCTTCTACTTTTTGTAGATCTTTCGATCTGTTTAATTCTGAAGCTGCCTCTGGTTGTTCTTACTAATAATCCTTATTTTTGTCTTCTTGCAATTTAGTTTTAGGTCGTATTTGTACAACGTTATCCATCATCCTTTGAAGTCCCTGTGCACTATCTGCCAGCAACACTGTATCGTCTGCATATCTAATATTGTTTATAAGTTGGCCATTTACAGCACTTCCATGGCGTGTCTTGTGGTGTTATTCCATCACTTATAGTACAAATGAGTGATTTATGTTGGATGCAAAGGAATTTCATCTCCGACATACTTTTTACACAATAAGCTACTATTTAGCTGGTTACAAAAATATTTTCCGGCTTGTATCCTCTCTTCCACATAACACAATCTTCCACATAACACTATTAAAAGAGAATTGAAGTTTGACTTTGTGATTGTGTATCAATTGTAGTAGTTGTCCATAATCCTTCCATATTTCCAACCATCAACGATTATCATTAGAGTTTATATATCCCCATGCAGTATTTTGACAGTTAAAGTCGCCAAGGAAGAAGTTTGTGTTATGGTAGTTAAAATAAAAGTGTCTGGTTCAGTAAAAATAAAATCTTCCCCTTAAATAAAAAGGAGGCTTGTCCACATAAGTCACAGAGACACTTGGTATGCAGATATTTTCTATGTTATTGAGTTCACTAATAGCAGATTTGTGGCTTTATAGAAGAATGCTGAGAATGTCATGGACAGCAAGGATCACGAACAAGGAAGTTCTAGGAAAAATGAAGAAGGAACCAGAGATTGTGTTTACGATCAAACGCATAAAATTGCAATATCTGGGACACGTTATGAGAAATCAGCACCGTTACTCCCTGCTACAGTCTATATTGCAAGGTAAAGTCAAAGGCAAGCGCGGACCCGGTAGAAGGAGAATATCATGGCTGCGGAATTTAAGAACATGGTTTAAGAAAACCTCAACGGAGCTGTTTCGAGCCGCAGCGAGCAAGGTTATGATTGCCAATATGATTTCCAACGTCCGAAACGGATAGGAACCAAAAGAAGAAGAATAGCAGATGATTATTACCTTTAACCCAATTCGGGCAAAGATACCACTTCCATATTTATCATACT